AGCAGGTCTGCAATCCTATTCGCGGATCATTCCTTCAATTTCTGGTAGTCTGTCAAGACATGAACTAAATTTCATGCCTTTGTAGTCCTGTTTCATATTACCAGCTGATGCTGATCTAATTATTGATTATTGCCGTAAAGGTCCACTTTTTGGTTCAGTACTAATATGAATGCACATAAAGTTTCCTCCATAAGGGCGTAACAAAAGCGTTTTAAAATTTAGCGGAAAGCCGTGGTTCCAACTGCCTGTAAGCAAAAACAGCATGTTGTGATTTTTGGAACTTGACGACCTGGCTGCATTTCCACTAATTGCGTAAAGGTGTCAAGCAACTGTAACCGGATCATATATTTTCCATAGCTGACTTCCTTTCATTCTATCAGTAACTACTCCCCAATTTGATGATGTTTCTGCTGACTGAATTGCTCAGCTTCTGGATTCACTGTAGTCTGGTGGTAGTGTTCACAATGTGCTAGGCTATCTTGTAACAATCTTGCGTTCTTGTGAAAATTTCCAGTTGCCAATTGTTTCCTCACGACGTAGAGAACCTTTTTTAATGCGACACTCCCCCTGCCAGTCAAGGTGTGATCTCATAGTTAAACCCCTCTTTGTGAAAGTACTTTAGAAAGCACGTTTGCCTCTTTTTCCTTTTATGTCCGCGCATTTAACAGTAGATTTGTCTGTTTGTGCTTAAACACCGACTAGGGAAGGCCTAGCACGTTACTTTAGCTGGAATTCTACATCTGCTTTGTTTGTAGGTCCGACTGCAAACCGAGCGGCGTAAAACCATGAATGTCATTCCTCCTCTTCCAGATGTGGCCGTTCCGCATGCGTCTGCTAAGTAAGTCTGGCAGTAAAATGGCTTACATTACAAGTAGCACAACAGTGTTAACACCCATCACCACCACCACCGTCCTCATCAATCATTTATTTGTCATTACGACCATTTACACTAAGTTTGTCATCGTCTTCTCCGAGGCTTTGTTGAGTTCCTTTACCCCAAGCTGTTGCTGCATAAGGGAATTTTTAAAATGAATAGTAGGGCGCTCAGTAATCTGGCTCGTCCCTTTTTGTCTTGGAGCTTAACCCAGGGCCCATGCAGGCAGTCGCATAGTGACTTGTATATATGCCGGGTTCGAATCTCGGGGGTCGACACCCCTGGGATTAGGTATGATTGACTGATGACGACTAGTAAGCCAGAAATAACCATTCCGGTGTCCTTTGTCTGTTCCACCTTTGAAAATTTTAAGTCAAGTGGGATGTAGGACAACCGCCCGTGTTGCTGGAAGTTGCCTCTTTGAGCCCTTTGGCTTGACGCCAGACAGCGACTACACGCGAATTCATTTAGTGGCACTTCGTGGTTGCCACGCCACTGCACCGTTGTATAGCTTTCTGGCACGTCGGTCCTCCATTGTAAGCCAGCGATTGCATATTCGCAAAACATACCTGTCTGCTTGTTTTGCAGGTAGGCTGTGGTGAAGGCCATTTCAATATCCGGTGCTATTGAGTGCGCCGTTTAAATAGACAGTCTAACGTGATGTTACTCTGGTGATGGCACGATTATGGTAAACAACCATAAAACATCAACAGAGAAGACGAAAATCTAGGAGGGCATGCAGATTGGCTAAGGTTCTCAGTGGAAATTCAGGAACGCTCTGGACCTATTAGGTCACTCACCAAATCCTTGTAACCGACGCTTTGAAGGTCCTGAAACTTTCCCCGCCTATTCGACATTCGAGATACTTCGTTTTATCCGTTATTTATTGATTTCTACAGCTGGTATCCTTCAGTCTCTTCATTTGCACCGCAGATTATTGATTTTAGTCTGAAAATAGCCGCTTGTAAGGTTCCACTCAGTGGGAGTTACCATGGCCACCTTTATGCATTTGTCTTTTATAAAGTATCACTGAGCCGCTCTTAACGGCCATTGAACATACGTTCAATATGAGAGCTATGGTGGGGTCACTGAATCTGCGGATCTATGTTTTCGAAGGGTTAACGAAACTATAAGATAATAGGTGAATTCTTGAACGGTGAAGTTGTTTAGAGCTCTCGCGGTTATCACCTAGCAAGACAAACTCTTCCTGGATCAACACATGTCTAGCTTGTTCGAAGTAGCTTTTCATCCGTGCTCTATCGTTTCCCACGACTAAAGGACTGCGCTCGTTTAAGAGCTGTTTCACAAACGAGAAGTGGCCTGCACTTATCTGATGAAGGGTTTATACTTACGTGTCGATGAATTCTTCGACAGCTTCCGCGTCACTGTAGTAAACGAATTCGCAATCACTTTCCGTTAGAGCCTATTCGGTAGGCGGTATGATCCTCCCTCAAATAACAGATAACGCGATATCATCTTGGTTTTTTGTATTCTAGGTTTGTTTACTACAGAGTAGTCTTCTTAAAAAAATTTAAGGAAGTGCTCGCCGAAGTTGTGACGAATTCTAACTTACAAGTCACCAAGCAAATTACGAGAGGCAGTCATCTCAACTTCTATCGAGAAATTCTCGTTACCCCAAACGGTATATATATGACGATGGTATTCGAAAGATTTAACTAGTTTGTTCGGCGTGATTGAAAGCACTCGCGTAAACCGCTTCGATAGCGATGTTCTTACCATGTTCTCCCGGACGCACTCTAGTCTTTTCCACACAGGTTTTCACCGTTGTAGGAAGTCGTTGGGATATAGCTGGACGCTAGTGAAATTAAGATCGTAATGCTCCCTGCAGTTTCGCTTCTATTTTTCACCATACCTGGCTGTGGACATTCCAGGTACCCAGAGCCAAATGCCAACGCTCATTTATTTACTAGGGTCAACTAGGAAGGTGGATATCTGGTTGTTTTTGTTATTCATACCTTCCAATTACTTCAAAAACTTTTTTCATGCATAGATCTTGAGCGCTATTGGTTAGCAGTTCGCTCTCTCATACCTTGAGCGCCCTCAACGGAACCATTTTTCTGTGTCCCAGTAACAAATCTGCCGGCTCTGGCTTTCAAAAATCTCGTAATGCGTTCTCATTGACCTCTGAATTGGCGCATGTCTTTCTTTTTTCAACGACTTTCGTTTTCTCTTATCGACTCC